AAAAAGAAGCTGGTACTGTTTCAAAGCAGGAGTAGACTCCTGGGCCTCATGCTGCACCTCATAGCACAGTACTTCCACACTTCCCGCATGCTGCTCCAGCAGGGTGATGACCAGCCCAGGCCACAGGCCCTCATCACCCACGTCCTGGCGCTCCTGGTGCTGCAAATGCCTTTCAACCCCTGGACACCATGGAGTGCCACTTCTGGTAGTGGGAGACCAGTTTGGACAGGTGGGACTGCATTGTCCTGCAGCAACGGGACGACCAGCAGTGGTTCCAGAACTTCCACATGTGGAAGGCCACCTTTCTGGAGCTCTGTAAGTGGCTCTCCCCTGCCTTCAGGCAACAGGACACCTGACTGAGACCCGCCATCCTCGTGCAAAAGCGCATGGCCATCACCCTGTGGAAGCTCACCACATCAGATAGTTAGCACTCCATCGGGAACCAGTTTGGCTTGGAGAAATCCAGACGGGGCTGTGCTCCTGCAAGTAGCCCAGGCCATCAACCAGGTCCTGCTATGGAGGGTCATCACTCTGGGGAATGTGGACAGCATCGTGGATGGCTTTGCTGACATGGGCTTCCCCAGTTGTGGGGGAAGGAGGGACCAGAGATGGTACCCACATCCCCATGCTGGCTCCTGACCAGCATGCTTCAGACTACATAAACAGGAAGGGGTATTTCTCCATGGTGCTGCAGGCCCTTGTGGACTACTAGGGACTCTTCACGGGCATCAACATCAGCTGGTTGGGGAAGATGCATGACACCTGCATCTTCCAGAACTCCTCCCTCTTCTGAAAAATGCACACTGGCACTTTTTTTCCAATTGCACCATCAGAGTCGGGGAAGTGGACATGCTCATTTACATCCTGGGCGATGCAGCCCACCCGTTGCTCCCCTGGCTCATGAAGCACTACACGGGCAGTCTGGACCCTTCCAAGGAGCACTTCAACCCCAGGAAAAGCAGGTGCTGCATGGCCGTGGAGTGTGCATTCTGCCGTTTAAAGGAGAGGTTCTGGCATCTCCTCATCCATCTTGACCTCAGCGAGCTCAATTCAACATCAGGGTCATGGCCTTTTATGCTCCAGAACCTATGCAAGAGCAAGGGAGAGACATTTCTTCCAGGGTGGGGGACAGAGGCTGAACAGCTGACAAGGGCATATGAGTAGTCAGACACCAGTACCATTCAGTGAGTACATCAAGGGGCTGTGCACCCTTGAGTGTGAAATCCACTTCTATTATAACTTAATTATACAACTTCATATAGAACCATCTTTGCAAAAGTGTTCTATGAAAGCATTTCAACTGACCACTGAATATATTATAATATTATATTTACCTTTATCAAAGTTTTTAGCATTCCACTGATAAGGATCTGAGTTTGTCTGTTATGTCAATGATCTCTAAACTAAAATGCAAAAGATAGGTGCAGTCTATGCAATCACTTTTTTAGAATCTTTAGAATACAGATTTGCCTGTGAGACCATAATAACTTATTAAGTAAATAGCATAGTAATTTTCCATATTAATATATTTTGCAAAATACCTGGTCTTCCTGGGCCCAATACTGCAGACATATGTCAGCAAAATTGTGTGGACACCATGATGGATGTCATCACCTAAACAATCATGATGGTTAGATAATTACTGTGTTCATAGAGTCATAGGGTATGTCTACACTGCCACCCTAGTTTGAACTAGGGTGGCTAATGTAGGCATTCGAAGTTGCAAATGAAGCCTGGGATTTAAATATCCCGGGCTTCATTTGCATCTTGCTGGGCACTGCCATTTTTAAATCCCCGTTAGTGCAGACTCCGTGCCCACGGCTACACGCGGCACAGAGTAGGTAGTTCAAATTAGGCTCTCTAATTCGAACTACTGTTACTCCTCATGGAACGAGGTGTACCGGTAGTTCGATTAGAGAGCCTAATTCAAACTACCTACTCCATGCCACGTGTAGCCACGGGCACGGAGTCCACACTAACAGGGATTTAAAAATGGCAGTGCCCAGCAAGATGCAAATGAAGCCCGGGATATTTAAATCTCGGGCTTCATTTGCAACTTCTATTGCCTACATTAACCACCCTAGTGCGAACTAGGGTGGTAGTGTAGACATACCCTTACTCAGATGAGATTTCAGTGAGCTTGAGCCTGGAAATGTTTTCCTAATGGACAAAGACTGAAAAGCTGTGGGTTTGCCTATACTGTGCCTCTGAGAACCCTTCCCTCTGACCATATGTATTGTGTACATTTCTCAGTACAATGCAGCCATTAATAAGTCACGCCCATGATCAATGGGTCATGTACACACTTCCAGTTACATGGAGATCCTGATGGCATAGCCAAATCCAATAAAAATATCTGTACTTGGGGATCAGAGAGGTATTGGTCCACTACATCCAGATTAGGCAGTACAACTGGTTGTCATTCAGGGGCCGTGAAATGGCTGCTGATTAGGGCCCTTACTTAGCAAAATTAACTCAACCATTGCAACCATCCACCTTCAGTTGCCTCTAAATTTGGCTGTGGCTTGGGGCCTCTCTTTGCACTAAACCTAAATATTGTTCTGCTGGTTTTTCAGGAGTTTTAAAAATAACCCAGAAACTGGCTTTCTCATTTAATTAGAAAAATGTTTGCATAAAAGATACTAGCAAGGCACTTGTTCCATTCCTCTCAGCACGAGTCCCTCCCCCCCTCCACCCGATAGCATTATAGACAGAAGATTGCAATTAATTCATTAGACCTATTATTTACTGCAATAATTTGTACAGCTTGATGCTGTGCTGCGTGGGCGGTCTTTGCAAAGCACCATGCAGAGTGATCGTTAATATAGAGAATGCCATCTGTATAACAGGGTAATGCTCCTTCAAATACAACTTTGTGGCTTGAGCCAAATCACCCTTTGGTAAAAAATAAGGAAATGAGTGCTCTGGTAATAGGAATAGCAGCCATTCCTGAATCTAATCTGACAAAATTTTAAAAACACCAAATAATCTGGTAGCACTTTAAAGACTAACAAAACATGTCGATGGTATCATGAGCTTTTGTGGGCACAGCCCACTTCTTCAGCTGGTCATCTGAAGAAGTGGGCTGTGCCCATGAAAGCTCATGATACCATCGATGTGTTTTGTTAGTCTTTAAAGTGCTACCAGACTGTTTGTTGTCTTTTTAAAGTTTTTCCTGTTACAGACTAACTTGGCTACCCCTCTGAAGCTTCTAATCTGACAATTGCTGGCTCTGTCTTTGGACAAGAATTTCCGAAGCCTTATCTGGAAGGGAGGCTGGGGTATAAATCTAAAATACTCTAGCCTTCCATGCGCTACATGACGACATGGACATGCTGCTGTGCACTAAAAGGTGTATAATGCACTTTTATCTGGTTGAAAAAGCAGGCAGCTTGCCAAATAGGACCTTCTGTTCTGCAATGTGATTTGTCCTTTTCATATTTGTTCATTTTTTTAAATTGTATCCTTTGGTATATATGGTTGTGACTACTTTCTTCCACTATTTGATCTGAGGAAGTGGGTCTGGCCCACGAAAGCTTATCATCTAATAAACCATCTTGTTAGTCTTTAAAGTGCTACATTGTCCTGCATTTTGCTTCAGCTACCCCAGACTAACACGGCTACATTTCTATTACTGATTATCTAGTCTGACTTCCTATATAGTACAGGCCATAGAATCTCATCCAGTAATCTCTTTACTGAGCCCAGTAACTTGTGTTTGACAAAAACATGTCTTTCAGAAAGATAGCTTGATCTGAAGTTCTTAAGAGATGGAGAATCTACCACTTTTCTTGTTAGTTGGTTCTAATGGGTAACAAACCGTTACAAATTTTTTCTTATTTCTAAGTGAATTTGTCTGACTTTAACTTCCGGCCATGTGTTCTTGTTATACTTTCTGGCTGTCTCTACATTGGCAAGATTTTGCTCAAAAGCAAACGCTTTTGTGCAAAATCTTGCCGCCTGTTTACACTGGCCACGAGGATTTGCGCAAGAACACTGACGTTGTAATGTACAAAATCAGTGCTTCTTGCACAAATACTCTGATGCTCCCGCTCTGGGATAAGTCCTCTTGCGCAAGTATTCTTGTGCAAGAGGGACAGTGTAGACAGCAATGTTAATTTCTTGCGCAAGAAAGCCTGATGGCTAAAATGGCCATTGGAACTTTCTTGTGCAAGAGAGCGTCTACACTGGCACGGATGCTTTTGCGCAAAAGCAAATCTTTTGCACAAAGGCACATGCCAGTATAGACGCTCTCTTGCGCAAATACTTTTAACGGAAAAGCTTTTCCGTTAAAAGTATTTGCACTAAATCATGCCAGTGTAGACGCAGCCTCTGTGTATATTTAAGAGTTTTTTACTACTCGGTAATTTATTTCCACTTGAAGGTAATGATACACCATAATGAAGTCAGCGCTTGATCTTTTTAGTAAGCTAAGTAGGTCAAAATCTAATTTCTCAGTGTAATGTTTTTTTTTTTGTCACAGTCTCCATCCCTTCAGAACTAAAAACATAGCGTGAGAAACCACGGGCAGCATATAAGGCTCCCTCTTAGCACTCCCAAAGGGGATGGGAATGGGATAGAAATGTAAGCCTGGCCCAACCCACATCTTCACAGGACAGCAGAACACGGCATTTGGAGGACAGATGCAGGTGTCAGGAATCTGTAAGAAAATGGAGCTTAATAATGGGTGTGTACCAGTTTCTTGGATAACAGGGTAAGCATGTTGCCCCTGCGTGAGCCCTTGCTTCACTCCATGTTAACAATAGTGTAATACAATGAGGACTTTGGCCCACTGATGGAAGTTGAAGTTAAGGTGGAACTGACAGCTCTAACTTAGAATTTATTCGCTCTTGTCAGTGTTATAGTTTTCTTGATATTACTTTAATATTCTGTCATAATTATTCTGAATATATCCAATAAAGAGGCAATTGAAACAAGGCTTAAGTGTGATTTTTTTGTTGCAGCTGTTTAATGTTTTGTTTTAATATTTTATTTTACAGCTGAATCAAAATGACCCAGATGACCAACACTGTCAAGGCAAATCAATACCTGGAACCAATGTAGCCGCAGGAGGAGGTGAAGCATCTTCACAGAATACTTCTTATTTGGATGAATTAGAGAAGTACAGATTCTCTGTGTGGTAAGTAATCTTACCATCAAATAGCCTTTTAGCTAGATCTTATTTTTTGTTGGTTGATGTGAAATATTATACATAGATTTTTGGGTGTAATGTGCAAGTGATATATATAGATATAGATACATGCTAACAGAACATGAAGTGTGCAAATTCAAGCCTTTAAAAGTTAGGAAATGCCCATATTAAATTTGCTATGTAAACTTAATTCAACTCCCTTGGGTGTATGCATTATGATACAGTCTGTATGTATATGTCTTACATAGGACTTCTGCCTCATTCAGTGCACAGGATGGTCGGTGCTCATTTAATACTTTATTTTCTGCTCAGTGCATAGCCCCAGGCCTTATTTACTAAACACTCTTCAAATCCTGTTCTGTAGACAGAATTATTAATTTCCTTGAGGGATTTTCTATAGGCACTCATGTCTACAATATCTGAATGCTTCACAACATTAATTAATTTATTTTTGCAACACCTCTGTGGAATGAGGGGTGTTATTATTTCTATTTTACAGATGGGAATCAGATATTAAATTTGGGGGTCCAATTTGAGAAGCTGGGATCTGATTTTTTTTTGACTGCTAACCATTTTATAATATTAGGGTTCATTGGAAAAAACATTGACAGAACCCATTTTCCGCCAGAGAGTGTCATTTTGCCATTTTGCTGTAGTTGAAAAGCTATGAAAAATTGTTTAAACATTGCTGAAATTTCATTTCAAAGACAATATCAAAGCATCTCATTATGACATTTTCAATACAAAATGTTTTAGGCTTTTTGTTTAGAAATTTCTTTCACTTTAACCTTTAATTTATTCTACATAAAATAAATGCATATTATAAAACTTAATATAAAAAGGTAAACTCAAAACAAAATATTTCAATCAATCAATCAGATTTTAAAAAAAAATCTCGTGTGGAGAAGTGCAAAATTCAGGGTTTGTTCCTTATCAGAATAAAGGCAAATGTTCAAATCTCAAAATCTTTTGTGAAATGGAACTTCCATCTTCCTATCCTAGCTCTGTACAATGCTTTATATGTTCAAAGAAGAGCTAAGTGTATCTGCAAATCTGAATTTCAAGTCCATCACCCAGAAAATAAAGAACAGACAATGAGTGGAAAGTCTGGTTTACGTGACTTGTCTAGAATCATACAGGAACACCGATAGGGGCAAGACAGAATCTCATACTTCAGAGTGGCATTCAGCTTTCTTTACCATGAAACCATCCTTTCTTTTTCTGTAGTCCCTTCCTCACTGACTGCAGCAAATTAAAGGATTAATCAATCATCCCCAGAGCAGTGAAGCACTATACACAGGATCTTGTGTACAAAAAATTGTGTGTGATAATGTTGTTATAGTGTGATAATGTTGTATGTATCACAATGTTGCCTGGAAGTTTTGACTTTTAAATGGGCATAAACATGATTTTTTCCCATTTGTGATTAGTAGAGACTCAAAGGATTTTGGTACATGTGTCTTACAAATTACATAAATCCAGTCAGTGCTGGTAATCAATATCTAAGCAATGTTGACTATTGAAAGAATAAAATATTGAAATTGAAAGCACCTATTTTCTCTTTATCTATATTTAAAAAAACTAGCAAATTCCAATGCTCCTGAGGTGAACTGTTGTGTTGGAAATGT